GTGTGTGTGTGTGTGTGTGTGTGTGTGTGTGTGTGTGTGTGTGTGTGTGTGTGGTAATTATTGTGAGCTAAATGCGGGCAGTGCAGGTGAAACTGGCAGCCTCCTAATTAATGAGAGAAGCAGATGGCCTTGGGTGGGCGGGAGATGCGAGCGGTACACTGAGCCGGTCAGGTGGTCAGCACAAACACCTGGGCAGACACAAACAAAAAACAAGTGGTTTGTTTACGCATCAGCTCCTCATTTAGAAGCAAGATAAGAATTTTTCTTTTGAGTTATCTTTATAGGTGCTCATTTGGAAACAAAACCTGCACAGGATTTGTCTCTTATACGGTTGTTTTTGCCCTTAAATTTAAAAACTGGGAGCAGCCAGCTACCACAGGTGTTTGTTTACCTGCGCAGGAAGCTGGAGACGTCAATGAAAGAGACGTTTGGGATTAAGGAGTCCGATAGTTTGGATGTATTGGAAGATATTTASGCTCTGATTTGTTGGGTAAAGTAAGCAAATAAAAGTGCTTTATCCATGTTGAGTGCATACCTTTGTTTCAGCATTGTGTTTCAAGAAACTATTGGTAACTGCACCATCTGATATATTTCAGAATAAACCTTTTTAGATGTTTATTTAATAGATTCCTTTAAGAGTTTTCAACAATCAATCATTCATGACTCAAACCTGCTCGGTGAGATTCTCCTGCTGAGTAAAGTTAAGATTTAAAGTGCCTGTGACATCAAATTTTTTGAGATAAACATGAATGCATTTTTGGAAAGATAGCATTGATAACATATTYCAAAAKAAATTTCACTCTGCTGAYATGAACAGMTGTTGAGATATTTGCATGTGAAGRAACAGGAAGTGATGTCAAAGGAGAATGTCTGCATGCAAACAGAGCATTGCTACAACGGCTAACAACACAAACTGTAGAGAAGAGTCTGATGTTTCTTTACATTATTTTGAGTCTTTGTCAAAGAGAGATGAAGAAGAGTTAAAGTTTAAATTATATTGTTTTAATACACAAAGACTGAAGATTTTATTTTATTAAAGAGTTCCCCTTTGATGTCACTTCCTGTTTTACTTTGGCTGAGCCAAATTCAAAAGAAAATAGGCCAGTTATGTGACAAAATGGGTAAAATCATGTGTATTTGGGTAATTTTCTTAAGTATAAAGATGTTTTCTTCGACTTTTTGTATTTGAACTAAATGCATGTCACAGGCACTTTAACAAGGTATTTTTAACCAATCTGCATTTTAAATGATTCAAAACAAGATAACTGAGCTTTCAAAGCAACGTTTCTGGAATCTGCAGCACAAACACAGTTTATCTTCATATTATCCAACGTATCACTGATTCGTGACACAATAAAAACCAATAAAGACCAATAAAAACATGAGGGAGTGTTTTTAGCTGATCACAGGAAGTGGCACAGTCCTGCTTCCTGGTTGA